CGCCCCCCCCCCCAGCCAGAGCAATCAGCAGCAGGCAGGCAGCGCAGACCTCGGCTGCCAGGACGCAGTGCGCGGGGACCACAGCCCCGGGGCCCCCGCGGGCCTTCTCCGCCACGTCTGACCCGAGGACCGCCTGTGAGCTGCAGTCTCTCCTACTGAGGCCGCCTAGGGACTCACCAGCCCCCTTTCTTTGGGAAACACACACACACACACCCTAACTGGGGAGTAAACAGGGAAGCTTTCCTCCATTCCTGAGGCTGGCAGGGTCCTGGGGAGGATGGGCAACACCCGGCCAGCAGCTGGGGCGCCCCCCACGTGCCGTTGCACCTGTCCCATCCGGGTCAGGGCCCCGCCATCAGTAAGACCCCTGCACCCCCCCACACCCAGAACCCAGGCCTTGTCCCAGCTCGTGGTACCGCAGAGCACCCACAGGGCTCACTGGGTTGCTAGGGTAACTCCTACTGCCCCCAAGTCCATCAGCCCCATGCCAGCCCCATGTGCACAATGGAGGGGACCAGCCGATTCTAACTGAGCATGCGCTCCCACCATATCCCATCTTGGGGCTCCCATGAGAGCAGAACTGCCCCAGCAAGGACAGGCCCCTGGGCCGCCAGGCACCCTTCCTTCTCACCCAGCTCCCCAGAGGCCACAGGGACGAGTGGGCACAGGAGTGAGACTTCTCAAGTCAGGGGACTGACTGGTTGGCTCTGCCAAGCCCAAGAAATGAGGGGGACCCATGCCGCGAGTGGTTAAATAATTAATAAGATTACCAACAGCGTGTTAATTACAAATAACAAGAGAGGAGCTAGAGGTGGCGAACTTTCCAAAGGAGGAACAAGGATCGCAGCCCCAGGGCCCGGGGGTCCGGCCACCTGGGCGGGGCAGCTCCGTAATAAATAATGGAGTTGGGGTAGGGGTCACGGCTGCTCCTGCTTCTTCTTGACGGAAATCCGCTTCTTCCTTGCGGCTAGCATCTCGTAGAAGGGGTCCACGCTCACAGCTGCCCTGCGGAAGAGGGGACCCCAGGGTGAGGCCCAGGGTGAGGCCCAGGCCAGCAGACCCGCGCCGCCCCAGCCCAGAGCCCTGCGCACTGGATGGACTTGATCCACTCGTCCTTCTCCTCCTGCGTGGGGGCCGAGATGCGGTACACCATGTGGTTGCCCTCCACCACCCGGCCGTCTGCCTCCGTCTTGCAGGCCTTGATGAGCTGCCCCTTGTTGTTGGGGATGTAAAGCTCAAAGCAGTTCTGGGGAGTCCAGAGAGCAGGGACAGAGGTCAGAGCTGACCTGGGGCCACAGGACCCCGCCTCAACGAGTGGAGGAGCCCTTACCGGCTTCCGGGGGTCGTCCACCTCTCGGATGCTCAGATTCTCCAGGGGGATGATTCCTCGGGGCTCCTTATCCTGAGGGGCAAGTGGACAGACTTCCCCATCTTAACCCC